CAGGGTGAGGATGTGGCTTGTATAGTTTCTCTGATCTTTCAGCATTCACCTCAATACTTGACTCTGGGTTTGTTTTTATTAATAAGACCTTTTAAGATTCGCTTTACAGTTCAAGACCACCCGACCAAAGAATGGTGCTGCTCACAATGGGCTGGGTACCTCTGCAATCCCTCACAGATATGCCCACATTCCAATCTGATAGAGACAATTCCTCAATTGAGACTCTTTTGTTCAGGTGATTCTCAGCTGTGTCAAGTTGGCAGTTACTGCTAATTTGGATGCCCTCTGAATGAACAAAACCAAGTATTTCCTAGTGATTTTCCTTATGGTTTCTTTTTTTTGGGGGGGGGGGGGCTTGAGTACAATTTATTATGATGGTGCAAAAAGAATGTTGAATAACTTTTGTTTATTTACTTTTGTTGAGGTAAAAAATCAATGATGAAAATTTAACATTTTTGTCTTTTTAGGGTATGTCTCAGTATTACTAAGTACATTCACATTGTGCCTCGCCATCTCTAGACTCTACTCTTTATCTACTAGACAGTGACTCCCCTTCCTTCCTCCTCTTAGCCTCCGGCAAGCGTTTTTCTTTTTCCTGTTTCTGTGGGTATTGCTTTCCTTGGAACTTCATGTAAGTAGTCTTACATGGTTTGTCCTTTTGTGTCCGGCTTTTGGGAAGATTATAACATCATCAAAGCTTGTTTATACTGTAATATGTGATAGAACTTTGCTCTCTTTTAGGCATGACTAATAGTCCATTGTTTGTAAATACCACATTTATTTTTAACCCATCATCCATCAGTGGTTGTGTAAATTATTTCCCCTTTTTGGCTTTTGTGAATAATGATACTCTATACATTGGTATTCCAGTATCCATGCTCTTATTTTTATGGGGAGGAATTTGCCAATGCAAACACCATTTGAAAATCAGCATAGAGCCGGGCGGTGGTGGCGCACGCCTTTAATCCCAGCATTCGGGAGGCAGAGCCAGGCGGATCTCTGTGAGTTCGAGGCCAGCCTGGGTTACCAAGTGAGTTCCAGGAAAGGCGCAAAGCTACACAGAGAAACCCTGTCTTGAAAAACCAAAAAAAAAAAAAAAATCAGTATAGGTGGTTCTGGCTTCTGCCCCTGGCATCTAAGCCTGTGCAGGGATGATCACTCTGAGGTTCTGCATGGCCATTGCTTATAGAGAAAGGTCCTCATGGGACTATCTTTGGTTAGCATTACTCAGGGCTTTCCCACCACTATTGTCATGGTCCTGACAGAAGGAAGGCATTAAGGGAGTCTCTTAAAACCTCCCATCTAAGGTCATGGTGATGTGTATCAGGTTCCAAATAAAGTTGCCTTCAAATGCAGGGAGGTTATAACTGGCATTGTGGAGTCTCTAAATATTCAGTGAGAGTAGGAGAGTCCTGCTCTACTGGCATCAAGTGGGAACTGCACCAGAGTTACCACACTAAAAATCGGAGGTTGTCTAGAACTTGGATCTGATAAGATGTCTTAAAAACAACTAGAACTGAGTGACCTCCAAGAATAAGTACCCCTTTAATTCCATGTGCACTCATTGGCAAACTACTCAAAGGACTTGGTATAATTTGCAGTCACAACAACAAACAAGATCTACAAGTAAGTGTTGCAATCACAATTCACATGTATGTGCTATTTTTAAAGTGCTCTAAAGACCTTACTGCATAATAACACTGGGAGATCTTTGCTGGAGACTGTCATTGGGTGTCATAAATGTGGCAAGTTTAGGATTTTCTTACCACACACTCTCCCATTCGAGGCTCTGCTGCAATTGGTCACAAACTCCAAGCACAAAACAGGGCTCTTTCACCAGCCAAGTGTTTTTATTAAATAATGGAGTCACAGCCTGTGAAAGAGAAGGCTGAGCTAGGATTCTTTCTACCTTCTTTACAGGAACCCACTTCTATCAGCAACATCTCACAGTCTGCTTTTTTTTTTTTTTTTTTTTTTTTTTTTTTTTGGTTTTTCGAGACAGGGTTTCTCTGTGTAGCTTTGCGCCTTTTCCTGGAACTCACTTGGTAGCCCAGGCTGGCCTCGAACTCACAGAGATCCGCCTGGCTCTGCCTCCCGAGTGCTGGGATTAAAGGCGTGCGCCACCACCGCCCAGCCACAGTCTGCTTTTTATCCTGGGAGAATAAATGGTCCTTAACTGAACAAATTACCTTAAAAAGGAGTTAAACACAGACACAGACACACACATACACATACACACACACACACACATACACACAAACACACACACACAGAGACAGACAGATAGACAGACAGACATATACACACATACCACCCTTTATTTAGGGACATCTGCTCCTAACCTTTACTACAAAGTTTGTCCCATCTATGTGTGTGTACATGTGCATGTGTGTATACCTGTATACATGTGTGATTAACAAAATAAAGTACTGTGATATATATTCATGTTTAAACCACTTTTTAATCTAAAATATCACCGATATCCCCTTGTCTTAGGGTTTCTATTGCTGTGAAGAGAAACCATGACCATGGCAACTCTTATAAAGGAAAAACATTTATTTGGGGTAGCTTACATCTTCGGAGGTTTAGTTCATAATCATCATGGTACAACATGATGCTGTGCAGGCAGACATAGTGCTGGAGATGGAGCTGAGAGTCCTACATCTTGACTTGCAGGCAACAGGAAATGGACTGTCTCATTGGGTGTGGTTTGAGCATATATGAGATCTCAAAGCCAGCCTCCAGAGTGACACACTTCCTTCAACAAGGCCACACCCACTTCAAAAAAGCCACACCTTCCAATACTGCCACTCTCTATGAGATTATGATGGCTATTTTCTTTCAAACAACCATACCTCCTATATCAATACATTTGTTTTCCAACTCTATTCTCTCTTTTCAGTTTGAAAACTAAATCCAAGTATTTTCTGTAGTGAAATATTGTGTACCCTAATAAACTTGCCTGGGGATTGGAGGACAAAGACAGCCACTAGATTAGACATAGAGGCCAGACAGTGGTGGCACACAACCTTAATCCTATCACTCAGGAGGCAGAGATTGTCTAGATCTCTGAGTGTTCAAGGCCACACTGGAAACAGAGCCAGGCAGTGGTCTCACACACCTTTAATCCCAGTACTGTGAAGCATACATGCCTTTAATCCCAGGAACTGATGTCTGGGCAGTATATAAAGCATAAGGAAACAAAAACTCACTCTCTTTAGACTGAGGATTTCATAGAGGTATGCTAGTGGCTGGCTGTTCTGCTTCTCTGATCTTTCAGCTTTCACCCTGATATCTGGCTCTGGGTTTTTTTATTTTAAGACCTTTTAAGATTCGTGTTACACTTTTTCTAATTTCTGTTCAAATTTTTAAAAATATGTAAGCAAACCCAAGTTTCATTCAGAGGTAGCTTAGAAGACATGATCCAGGCCAAACACCCTAATTGTCGTGCTAGAAACCCCATCCAATGACTGAGGGAACTGGATGCAGAGATCCATGGCTAGGCCCCGGGTGGAGCTCCAGGAGTTCAATTAGAGAGAAAGAGGAGGGTTTATATGAGCAAGAATTGTTGAGATCAAGGTTAGATAAAGCACAGGGACAAATAGCCAAACAAATGGAAACACATGAACTATGAACCAATGGCTGAGGGGCCCGCAAATGGATCAGGCCCTCTGAATGGGTGAGATAGTCGATTGGCTTGATCTGTTTGGGAGGCATCCAGGCAGTGGGACTGGGTCCTGTGCTCATTGCATGAGTTGGCTGTTTGAAACCTGGGGCTTATACAGGGTTGCTTGGCTCGGCCTGGGAGGAAGGGACTGGACCTGCCTGGACTGAGTCTACCAGGTTGATCTCAATCCTCGGGGGAGGCTTTGCCCTGGATGAGATGGGAATAGGGGTTAGGCTGGGGGGAAGGGGAGGGGAGCGAGAGGGGGGAGAACAAAGGAATCTGTGGCTGATATGTAGAACTGAATTGTATTGTAAAGTAAAATAAAATAAAATAAAATAAAAAAAAGAAGAAGACATGATCCAGACCTCTGTTCCAGAAATAAGGGTCATCAAATACTTGGTGGTAGATATTGAGATTTGTTTTAATTTTGCTTTCATTTTTCCAACCTTGTTAGGATATGCATCACAGTGATCACAGCTCTCATATAGAGAGAGTGTATACAACTTGGTGCTTTGACTTACATAGTGAGAAATGCGTAGTCAAGCTCATTAGCATATACATCTCCCCCACAGTTATATTTTGTGTGCGTTGAAAACATTTCTGAAATCTCATTTCATTTTGTTTCCGTAACAGAAATGCACACTACCATGTAGAAATCCCTTGGCTGCTCCTGAGGAAGCTGAACTCCTAACCCTGCATCGCAATGAGGATTTGTGTACTGGGCTCAGGATAAGGGGCCAAGGATCTAGGAACCATGAGACCGTTCTGCCCGCTTTGTCTACCAGCCCTGTGAGTGAACACCACTGAGAAAAAGAAGTGAAAACAGGAAACACACAGACTTCTCGGGCAAAATCAATGTCCTGTCGCATGCCCTCTTCCTGTAGGATTTCTTTCGAAACGTCTGTCGATACAGACTTTCCTTTCATCTCACCACATCTGGGTGATTTGAAGACAGGGCTTCCACATCTTAATGGCTCTGAAATTGGGATGTGTCTGACGACTGATTGCTGTAGACCTGACAGGAGTTGTATGACACACCAAAACAAACTTGTGACTGTGCTAACATTTTGCACGAGAGTGAGCAGAGAAGAATGGCTTTGAATAAGGTGGTTTGATCTTTAGCTTCGTGGTGCATCAGATCCACACTAAGCACGTGTTAAAACAGATTTCTGGAACTTTCCGTAGGCAGGAGATGCATGGCGTAAGAACAGGAATTGGCATAAAGAGCAGCGGAGAAGAAACAGAAAGGGGGAAGTAAACAGTAGGTGCTGGAGTAAATAGAGGCTTAAACATCATCAAAGCTGTAGAAAATAATCATTCAAGAAGATATGCGGTATTACCTGGCAGGAGAGCTGTCGTGATCACGGAAGTCCCTCTCTAGGAATGAGGCTTATCCCTTGCTCTCCAGATGTGCTAACCCTGTGATTTCTCCAGCAGTGAGAAACTCAACTACATATTTTGTGGTAGTGGGAAACAATGGTCACCCTCTTCCCTATGCATAGAGAGTGAAGGAGAGTGGGGAGGGAGAGGAATATTGAGGAGGGAATGGAGAGAATGAATGAGAGCAAATAGAGCAGGGACGAGAGGGAAAGTACAAGACTGTAGGTAAGAGAAATAATAGGGAAAAAATCCACAGTAGAATAGGTAAGCAATATGAATTCAAAACATGGCAATCAAATACTTATGCAAGAGTGGTGGTTTTTTAAAGTTAATGTGAAATGAAAGTAAAGTAAAAATACATTATCAGTCAAAATCCCTTCCTTGCTTACAGCACCAAGGACTGTCCCTCTCCTCGCTGGATGTAAGTCCTAGGCAGGGGGGGTTGGGGTGTGGCATCAGACTTTAAACATATGAATTTAGAAGAAGTGTGTTCTTCCCGAAGGCATTGTGGGAAAGGTCAAGCATGCAAATGGTATGACCCAAGAGCATAAGCTCAGCCAACCACAGTTTTAGCTGGATTCTCGGAAGACTTCCCAGATGTAGCCATCGCTGAAGAGGAGATGGATCTTCATAGTGAATTGTCATTTATCAGCCTCCAAAGAAAGGGAAGGGTCTTATAGGTGGCATGGCTATTTCAATTAGTCACTATCGTTATTCATCATCTATTCCCCTACCAACCCCTTAGCCTTTGTATTGTTACTGTCAACCAAAACAACTTCCAAGTACATTTCTCTAGAGTGCTCTCTGCCATTCAATTCAAGTGCATGACAATCACCTTAGGTACTAAAATAAATGTCTGTACTCTTCAAATGAATTCTTTGGTGTTGGTGGGATTCAGGTACCAATATTAGTAAAGTCCCCTAGGTGATAGCTATGGAATAAACACACTTCTTCTAAATTCATATGCTTAAAGTCTGATGCCACACCCCCACCCCCACTCTGTGATGTCTGGAAGCATGGGCTTTAGGTGCTAATTAACTCATAAGGGAAAAGTCCTTATGAATAGCTTCATTAGATATTAGAGGGAAGCCCTCTCTGCATTGTGGAGATACATTAACAATGTGATCATCTGCAAACTTGCAGAGGAGACATGAAGGACCGGGCTGCTGAGCAATTTGACCTTAGCCTTTGCTATTGTTTAAACCACTAAGTCTGCTATTATTTTGTTATGGTGACCTTACCTAAGAAAGCAACTTCAGTGTACAACCACGGCAAGAAATCTGTGACCCGTGAGGAAGCCGAAGGCATTGTGGGAAAGGTCAAGCATGCAAATGGTATGACCCAAGAGCATTATTTTCTAAGCATCAGCATCCTTGGCTGTAAAGTAACTGTAATACTGAGACTGCCTGGATGGGTCATTGGGAGGGGTAAATGGGATTAAGTGATGCTCAGAAAAAGTCTTTGACAAGACATTGTAGAATTTTAACTTATAGCAACTTTAACATTTCTTTTGCAAATGTTAACTATTGGTTTAGAGATAAGTAACTTTTCTTATTAAACAATAATAGCATAAATAATGTTAAAACTAAAACATTTGAAAGAAAAACTGCTATATGACCCAGAAATCCTATTACTTGGTATAAATACAAAGGAAATGAAATCAGTGTTTCAGAGAGGCATCTGCTCAGCCATGTTTTCTGCAGCACTCACTATTCATGATGGTTGCAATATGGAACCAACTACATGTTTAGCAATAAATGAATGGACAAAGAAAATACGGCATATATATACATCAGAATGCTACTCAGCTACTAAGAGAATGAAATACTCTTATTATTTGCTCCATTATAAATGAAATTGAAGAGTATTATGTGCAGTGGAACAATCCAGGCACAGACAGACTAACATTCCATGGTCACATGTGTTTGTGGGATCTAAATCTGTTGTCAAAGAATAGGGCTAATCTGAGGCTGGCAAGGATAAGGCAGAAGTGAGTGGGAGGGATAGACCAATGGGTTAGAAAGGAAAAATAAATTCTAGTATTTTCTACCTGGTAGACTGGCTATAGAAAACAATAGCAGACTGTGTGTTTCAAAATTTCTAGAAGAAAAGATTTTGGATGTTCTCATTATAAAGAAATATTAAATATTTCAGTTGTTGGGTATGTAAATACCATTGGTTATTACCCAACATATATCTATATTGAGATGTCACACTGTGTCCCACAAACATGCACAATTATTGTTTTAATCACAAAAATATTTTATAAGTAGTAGAAACTCTTAGAAGTTTGACCGTCATAGAGACAACACATTCGTGTGTTCAAGCCTCCCCCAGAGCTACCTACTTGCTCACACAGCTTTAGTATCTGAACTGTTCAAGATGCCTTGGTCAACCAATTGGCTGTTTCTTTGCAATGTGCTCAAAGATAACAATCAACTTATTCTTTAGATCCTTGAGTTCCATAAACACCTCTGTTTCTGCATGAAATTAAAAGAATATCAATGAAAAGGGAAATAATTTCTTCTAGACTCATTCTCCATGTAAACTGTATTCTGTTTTTCTAAGAAGTAGGAAACCATCTAAGTCCTTGTTAGTCAAAATGTGGCCCAGGAGTGCCACCCAGACCAGCTGGAACAGAATACACCTTTCAGCAAAATTCCCCAGTAATGTCCTCAGGAGTGAGAACCTACCTACATTAGGTCTCCTTGGTGATGAGACTAAAGAAGGAAGTGATTTTTTTTTTCTAGATAGATCACTGCCTGCTTAAACTCTGGGCCTGGGACTGTGTGGTCTGCTTAGCAGGCAATTTAGTTTGTTTTGAGTGTGGTGAGATTCTTATGGCAAAGACTTATGAGACCATTTGGTGATGATCCTGAAAGCCCCATTCTCACCCCCAATCCTTTGATAGAGAAGGTGGAGTCTGGTTGCTGGAGCTCCCTCCCTAAAGAAGGATGTGCCCAAGCAAAAAATGAACATGTCTTGCTTCAAAGACTGCAAAGCTTTCATTCCTATTTCAATCACAAACTCCATAGCACATCTATTCTGGTCTGTGGGTCTTTTTATCCTGCCCTGCAAGGATGCACCAGGGTAGCCCAATGGAAAATCATCAAAGCAGGGGCAATGGTTGCTTATTCCCCACATTGCTCTCTCCTGCAGTGTAGCCTTCCATTCCAGATCACCATCAGGAGGACAGACATAGCAGGATATAATCTTCAGTCCCCCAACCAAGAAAGCAGGAGAGGGCGAGCTTTAGAGTTAGTGTTAGTTCCAATAAGAAACCCCCAGGAGAGTGAGATGACTTAGCAAGTGAAAGTTCCTCCTGCGTAAGGCTGCTAACCTGATTTCAATGCCCTGAGCCTACAGTGCAAGGAGAAAAGTGCCCCCCAAAAGTTGTCCTCTGACCTCCATATACACACTCTGGCATGCGCGCGTGCACAAACTAATGACTATCATTATTAATAAAGATTTTAATACAGTAAAACATATTCTAGATATTGGTTTAGAAACTTAATTTCTTTGTGTGTAATGATAACTTTAGAAACATAATTTCTTTGTGTGTAATGATAACAACATAGTTACCAGGGATGATATGAAGTAAGGAACATTGATCTACAAAGGACAGTTGTTCTCTGAAGCTAACAGTCTATGACTGGATTCGCAGTGTCTCATCTGCCATTCTCAAATGTCACATGAGACCATGGTAATTCATTGCCAACCAAGATGTTTTATTACATGTTATTTGTTTGTTTGGGGATGGGGATTGTAGGAGTCATGTCTTTCTCCAACCATGTAAGGCCTGTAGATTGAACTCAGGTCATCAGGCTTGCCTACAAGTGCCCTTACCTGCTGAGCCATCTTCCTGGTCCATTCATCCAAATTTTAATGAGGTAAAGTTCCTGGGATATAAAATGTATCCATTTTCAGTGCACACTGTGTTGAGATTTAGAAAATTCGTACACTTACAGCACATTTCTTTCACCTCCAAATGTTCCGATCCCCATTTCTATAACCATCATAGGCAACCTCTGCTGTGTCTCTATAGCCCTGCCTTTTATAGAAACTGAGTTTCGTGAAGTCAGGAAATACGTAGTCCTATAAGTCTGACTACTTGCACTTCAGTGTAATGACTTAAACATCTGTTGCATATATCCAAAAATCGTTTACCTTCTGATTGTAGAGTGGTGTTTCATTGTATGAGTTTTGTCCATTCAACAACCAGTGAGGTGTTTGGATGGCTCTGGCTCTGAGATGCTTGCTGTGAAGAACTCTGCTACCATTTGTGCATTTATCTTTAGCCCCTTCTATAGAGTCTAAGAAGTAAAGTAAAAAACTGGAAACGGAAGGCATTATCTGACCATAACAAAGGCTATGTGTGAAAGGCCCACAGACGTCACCGTGTGTAGTGGTAACAATCCGAATGATCTTGCCTCTAATCTTGAGAATAAGACAAGAGCTCTCACTCTTAGCACCTGTGTGCAGCATAGCACTAGAGCAGTTCTCAACCTTCCTAGTGCTGCAACCCTTTAAAACAGATCCTCATGTTGTGGTGAGCCACAACCAGAAAATTATTTCGTTGCTACATCATAACTGTAATTTCGCTGCTGTAATGAATCTTAATGTAAATATCTGGTATACAGGATAGCTAATATGCAATCCTTGTGAAAAGTTATCCAATCCCCAAGGGGGTTGTGACCCACAGGCTGAGAATCACTATACTCCATGTATTTGCTAGGGCAATCAGGAAGATAAAGAACTGTCATCACTGAACTTTCATCCAGTATCTAATGGAAGCAGATGCAGAGATCCACAGGTGAGCACTGGGCCTGGGCTTTTGTAGTCCAGTAAAAGAGGAGGGAGGGATTATATGAGCAAGAAGGGGTCAAGATCACGATGGGGAAACCCACAGAGACAGCTGATCCGTGCTAGTGGGAGATCAAGGACTCTGGACTGACAGATAGGGAGCCTGCATAGGACCAAACCAGGCCCTCGTGAATGTGGATGACAGTTGTGTGGCTTGGTCTGTTTGTGGGGCCTCTGGTATGGGACCAGGATTTATCCCTGGTGCATGAACTGGCTTTTTGGAGCCCATTACCTATGGAGGGATATCTTGCT